AACAACAACAATGGGACGAAAATGGTATGCCTCGGAAAGCAACGCGATGCACCCTGAAGGGTTCTATTCTTATCAAGAAGCATCTTAATGAAGTCACTGAAACCGGTATGAGTGAGTGGCCTATCTGCAAAACTATAAGACCCAGCTAATTAATTCTTTTAATTTACAGTCGATGAGAACGTACTAACTCTCAGCCTTTCTGTTGCGGAACTTCCGCAGTTCCATCTGCGCTTTGAGAACCGAAACCAGCTGAAGCTATGGCAGCAGGCTCTTCTCGATCTCAATGCTGTTGAGCGATCCCCAGTCAGAAGCCCAGCGTATGAACGTGCTGAGGCATCCGAAAACGAAGAAGATGAATGGGGTAGAGGAGGTCGGCCTCAACGAGTCTCGTCGGTGGCTTCTTCTTACGGCGGACCCAAGTCCATCACTACGGCCGCTACTGAGTACACTAGCGTCGCGAGGAGCCCGCTGGTTTCGTCATTCCACGTACCTATTGATGTTGTTGTCGTGGTGCCTATCTCTTCTTCGATGCAGGGCGTAAAGATAAACTTAGTCAGGGATGCTCTGAAGTTCATGGTCAATAACCTTGGTGAGAGGGATCGCATGGGTCTCGTTACGTTTGGTTCAGGAGGTGGTGGTGTACCTATTGTAGGGATGACCACGAAGGCATGGCACGGTTGGAACAATATCCTAAGTTCGATCAAACCCGTAGGACAGAAGAGCCACCGTGCGGACGTTGTAGAAGGCGCAAATGTCGCTATGGATTTACTCATGCAACGAAAGTACAACAACCCGATCGCGACAATCATGCTCATCAGCGACGCTTCAACATCTGATGTCGACAGCGTCGACTTTGTCGTCTCACGAGCGGAAGCGGCCAAGTAAGACGGACCCCATTACTAAAATAAAGTAAAGCGATACTAACGATGCTTAGGATTACAATTCATTCATTTGGTCTCGGTATGACTCACAAGCCGGATACTATGATCGAGCTATCTACGCGAACGAAGGCTTCGTATACTTATGTGAAGGACTGGATGATGCTACGCGAGTGTCTAGCGGGCTGCCTAGGATCGCTGCAGTCTTTATCTCACCAGAACGTGAAGCTGAAGCTGAAACTGCCAGAAGGTTCGCCGGCGAGGTTTCACAAGATTAGCGGAGCGTTGCAGATCACTAAGCGTGCTACGGGTCGTGACGCGGAGGCTTCACTAGGTGATCTTAGATTCGGAGACAAGAGGGACATACTGGTTCACTTGGTCATTCTTCCCGATAACACATCCCAGGAGCAGTTGCCTCAAGATCCGTGGGAGACAATTGTTTCTGGTTTAGAAGCTTTGGGTGGGCCCGTGGAGCATGACGACCAGAGAACGATCTCGGTAGAAGAATTGCCGCTCATCCAGGCGGATCTAGTCTGGGGCGACATTTTGAGAGATGGCACAATGATGCATCTCCCAAGACCGTCGTTACTTGCTATTACAATGTTACCAGCACCGGGTAATTCTAAGAAGGCGTCCTGGCAAAACAACCCGCCGATTCCACCTCATCCACACATTGTCCAGCGGCGGATGGAACTTCTCACATCTGATATGCTCACCCGAGCGTTAACATTGGTTTCACGGGGCCAACACGATCGCGCACAGACGCTTCTTAACGAAACTCGTTCGATCTTGAAGGGATTAGGTAAAGGCGGACTTCCGCCTGTCCCCGTGCCGTCGGTGGCTAACAGCAAATCAAACCCGTCTACTCCCCAACCCGGATCGGATGCCTCTCCAATATCGGCTACACCAGATCGCAAGCATACCCCGTCGCCCACCGCCTCGGCTCATTCAGGTGCCAACGGGTTCCCGCCATCAATTCACCGGAGTCGGTCGACTGATGCTTTGACGCTGGGCAACGCGAACGGCATCGACGTCAGCACCGTCGCTGCGCTTGATTCCGAACTCGAGGCCAGCCTAGAATGGATTAACCATCCTGCCGTGTTTGGGCGTGACAGTCGCAAGGCCGTTCTGCAAGCCATCGGAGTTATTAGTAGCCAGCGCGCGTTTACGTTCCGAACGCCAATCGAGAGCCTTTGGGCTGGTCGTGTCAATGGTATCAAGAAGCTGACAGATAAGAGCCGCGAGTGGAGGGAAGAAGCTGGCGGCGAGGGAATTATCGAAGAACCATGATAGCATTTCACACGTTTTCATATCTATCTTCATCTGATATATATCCTCGGAGCTTTGACGCCCACTTAGACGAACGACCTCTACGGGACCATGTTTTGAACGAATATTTTTATTTATTCTCGAGCCTGCCATTGGCTTAGGCTATGCTTCGCTCCTCGCTTTTCTTTTTGTCGCTGCTCTACCGCCTCGGCTTTTGGCTTGTTTTGCAGCCAAGCTTTTGATGATCTAAGATACCATTTCGGAGTTTTCTTATTACGCAACCCACGCGAGCACCTGTTTATCTACCAGCACTATGTTATGTACGCTTACATTGCATCGTTTGGATTCATTACATATCGGGAGGAAAGTCCCTAGATGGAGGGAACATTTTGTTGTTTTACGGTGGCTATCGATATTGGAAATGCGTCGGTGTCAAAAGGGAAAGGCGGAAGGGGGGCAAAGGGTTGGTTGTCGCTCGATACTCACCGCCGATGAGGACCATTGGCGACGTTATTTTTAGTATTGCTTGAGCAGGAGGGGAGATTGGTGCCTTTTCAAAGCAGAGCGCTGTACATTAACGATTTTTACGGTCTGGTATAAAAAATGCTAGCCGGGGAGGATTCCGGATGTGAAATCAAGTTCTGATTGTTTTGCTATTATGAAATATTTGATTCTGGTAGTATTTGCGGTGACTTATCAAGTACTTGGTTGGTTGATTGGTGATAAGAGTACGTTGTAGTTATGTTGTAGTTAAATTGACATATATATACAAGGTTGCCTATCATATATAAGATCTGATGAGATAGATGTTTTAGCCATGTATCATCCACATATGACTAGGTTAGTGAGCTATATTGTAGAGATTAAAATAGAAATTGAAACAAATGTTTCCTTAATCTAGGACACTTATTATATCCTCAGAGGTTCGAACATACGTCACCCGCTACCCATAGTTATTTCTACTTGGCTTACATAGCAGTCCGAGAACGACGAGGAAGACTCCGTAGTTAAGTATTAAGGTGAAATACCTTCTCTATAGTTCCGTGTTTGCGACTCAACTAGTTGTCATAAACCGGTAACTCAAGAGGTTCTGGCAGACCTAGTTACTCAAGATATAAGACTACTGTATAGTTCATATAACTACATAAACTAATTAAGCCATGATAGAACTTGAACTTGAACTTGTACTTGCACTTGTACTTATTGGGTTGACGCAAGTAGGATATAGATGGATTAGGTAGATAGGTTAGGTAGGTATCTAATATAACTTCATCAAACACAACCTTTTCCTACTTCCTACCCCCTTACCGCTTAACAAAAAACCCCTTCGCCGGCACCACGCCAACCCGTCCCCTCTTCAGCAAACTCTCCTTGGACACCCTGGCATCCCTCCGCGCCCGCGGCGCGAGCCGCGCATCGCCCTGCTCGGCCAGGACCCTGTACTTAGTGGACCCGAGGACGCGATCGCGCGGCCGCTGGGGCTGGTCGTCGAACGTGATCTTGGTAGGTTGCGGGCCGGACAATTTCTTCCGCTTCTTCAGGACCTGGCCATCGTTGTCACCGTCACCGTCACCGCCACCATCTGCGTCGTCTTCGTCTTCGTCCTCGCTCGAGTCTGTGAGGAACTCGGCGGGCAGGTGTGTAGGGACGGCGAGTTTCTGGGCGCGTCGGCGGCCGGTTGTCACGGCCGTTTCGACTCCGGGGGTGCCGTCGTCTTCGGAGTCGGAGGCGTTGGAGGCGGGGTCTTTGCGCGGGCGTCTGGGTTGGTGGACCTGGACTTCTGCGCGAGATCGTTTGCGGCGCTCGGCTTGCTGTTTGAAGAGGTTGTCTCTTTCTTGGCGCTTTCGTTTTAGATTGGCGGTTTGTCTGGAGATTTAGTCAGTATAGGGGTTTAAAGGTAGTGAGAATGTGGAAGGGCTTACTTCTCGGCGGCATCTAAAGCTGCCTGAGTTGATTTTTGTACCTCCTTGGCAGCGGCCTGTGTAGATACGGCTTCAGGCGCATCGTCGTCATCACTCTCCTCCTCTTCGTCTTTGGTGTTATCTACCTCCACCTTCTTGCCTACTTCTGCCGCCGCCGCAACAAAGTTCTCTATATCGCTATCGTCGTCAAAGACACGATGCTTCCCCTTGGCCTTAGGGGCAGGTGTTTGATCCAGCTCTTGCGACTGCGGCTGCGAAGAAGAAGAAGCTAATCTTTGGCTTGCCTCCTCTTCCAACTGCTTCGAGACGCTCGAGAGTAATGCCGAGTCCGATGCCCATGATTTCTCTTCTTTGTCTTGGGAATCCGGCACTGCGTCTGTTTGGGAATTCTTGGGTTTTGGGCTCGTAGGTATTTCTACTTCAAGGTGTGTTTTTCGGCCTGTACCCGTACTTTCGTCTTCTCGTGTGCGCACAGATAGCTTCTTTTGTTTGGAATCTCCTGCTTCTTGTACCGAGGAAGCAGCGCCTTTATTTTCAGTGTTGTTGTTGTTCCCCGTTGATTTCCGCCTCGCGCGCGATGATTCTGTTGGTGGTGGGATTACTTCGCTCTCAAGTGCATTTTCGGCATCCTTCGCGCGTCTTCGAGTAACGGGAGGCATGTTTGACGGAAAGCAATAGTATATCAACTAGCCGAGAGCAAACCACTGGTGACAATTTGTGTGTTGGTAGGTTGTTCACGTCTCGGATGTTGCGCGGGTCGCACTTTTTTCTGTATCTAATGTTTGTTGATCGATAAGATAAACAAATCCCCGATAGGCTGATAGATTGATAGGCTGATAGGAATGATGTGGGGCCGGTGGTTAAAATAGACTTCGGTAAATCGACGGTCTTTCGGATCTTTCCGTCTTGTTCATCGTCCACTCACCTTGAACCCGTGCCGTTTTGATATTATATGATATATCATTAAGAGCTAAATATTGATTTCATGTTACACTATTATGACATAATCCAGGGTCTTATAAGTGGATTCATATCTTATAATACTATATTGTAATTTGTAAATCGCTTGATGGATAACCTCACTTACAACTTACAACTTACAACTTACAACTTACACTTACACTTACACCCTCGTCTGTCTTAAGACTTTACACACTTGAGCAGGTCAATTATCAGCCGGACCGATGAAGTAATCTCATAATCCCACCACAGCCATGTCTCCTAGACCTCCCCTTCGTCAACTGACGAGGCTATACACCCTATCCCATCAACTCCCGAAACTCCATCATGGCCGCCTCCCTCCCCCGGTCCGGTCAATATCAACCACACCCGCTCCGCGCGTCAAGGCCCGGGCCCCCCTACACCGGAACACATTCATCCAGATCCGCTTCGCAGAAGCCGACATCCCCGACCTCTCCTTCTGGACCAAACACACCATCCCGCCCTTCGTCCCCGACGGCGAAGTCTCTCCGACCCAATGTCTCGAAGCATGCAAACGCTACGTGCACCTCGCCATCGAGAACAAGCCAAACTGGCAGCAACGCAACCTCTCCCCAACCGCCACATCCCCCACCACCCACGACGGGTCCATCCCCCTCTTCACCCTGCACTACGCCGCCATAACGCTCCTCCTCTTCGCCCAAACCCCCGGACACCGCTTTCTAGCACTACACATCCTAACCACCGCCGCAACAGCCGGCTACGCCCCCTCCACGCTAACCCTGGCACGCCTCGGCCACAAGACCAACAACCTGCAAAACCCACAGTTCGCCCACGCAAAGGAATCCCTAGCAACCCTCCTCGCAAACCCTAGCCGCAGCCCCGAGTACCGCCCGGACACCCTAACCCTAGCCGCCCTCGTCCAACTCGCCGCCCCCGCCCCCACGCGCGCCACCGCCGACCGCGCAACCCAGCTCCTCGAGGACGCCAGCAAGGCCTACTCCGCGGCCGGCGGAACCACCGCCGCCGCCGCCGCCGCCGCAGTAGTAGTATACTGGCACTGGCGCGCGCGCGCCGTGCTAGCGCTAAGCCGGCTCCTGATCGAGCGGAAGCAGACGGCGCGGGCGCGCGCCATCCTCCGCGCCGCCGCCGCCGAGCTCGACGACCCGGAGATATGTTTCCGGTACGCGGAGCTGCTCCCGCGGCCCGACGCCGAGCGCCGCGTTCTGATCCAGCGGGCGGCCGTCAGCGGGGTCGAGGAGGCGGCGCGCGAGATGGCCAGGGAGACGCGCGCGAGTCTGGAGGAAGAGGAGCAGACGAAGGGGCTGAGTGCCTGGGAGAGGAGGGCGAGGGGGGTGATTGCGGATGAGTGGGCGGGGATCGCGGGGGATAAGGCGGTTCTTTGAGGATATGCATAGGCAGTTATATAGAAAGGGGCGCGGCTTGTATTACAACCATAGCTATGTCGAGAATGCCCCCCCAAATAGAAAATAAGGGTCAGAGGAGAAAGATAAACCCAATCGTAGAATAAAATAAACAAAATCTAGTACTCTATACCCAATCAAGATGAGGTCCAAAGTCACATCTAGTCGCTATCCGTCAGGTTCTTGAATAAATCAATTTCGCTCGCCTCCAAAAGCAAGTCTTCGCATTTGGGATCGGTACAATCGTCCGAAGCCCCCAGACATCTAACTACGGTCAACCCCTTATATATATCGAATGCCTCTCGTCACCCGTCTCCACGTATACCATATACACATGCGATCTCACCCGTGTAAGGCCCGCTAATAGTACGCCGCCCAGAGCCTGGTGAAGTAGAAAACACCCTTTCCTACGGAGTCAGATAAGCAATCGTTGTGAGCGCCCGTCCTCTTCCGTTTCCCGCTCTGTATAGAAAAAAAAAAAAAAAAAAAAAACACCGAAGCAAAAATTTCGATGCGGTGCTCGCAAATTCATCTTCCGATACCAAACATTAACCACCCTCCCAAATTGCGCCACTTACTCCCTTCCCTACCTACTCGGTCATTTGCGACCCCCCAAATGGCGCAACCAATGCTAACGTATTAATGCTACCATGCTTCAACGCCCAGACGATGCATATGTCAAAGTACTGTTTCGGCACTGAACTCTGAAAAACTGGAAGTAGCTGAAAAGCTACGGATAAGGAGATGTATCATGCGAATGATATGGGGTGAAAAGCACGTCTATAACTCTTTCGATGCTATAATGCCGTTCTAATCGTCGTGGAAAAAAGTCGTGTTCCCAACAAGAGGAGCAGTGGATGGACCAGCATCGGTCATCTCCACGTCGCTTCTACTAGAACCATCGTCCGAAGGTAGACCTAGGTTGGAGCGACGGAAATCGCCCGTCAAAGGCCGGGTAGGTGAAGGCTCAGCGAGCTTCTGAGGCAAAGAAAGCGGTCTTTCGCAGAAAGCGTCTTCCGGAGGCGAAAATGACCAGACCTATTCTTTCTGTGAGAAACGCTTGTAATAAATTAATTTGGATAAACTTACCTCCATCATAACCCTACTTCCCCTGTTCGCAACCGCCACGCACTTTTCGTCCTCAAATACTACCCTCCAGACAGACTCGGCCGTGATAAGTTCCCGTACGAGGTGGCCCGTTTTTACGTCCCAGACTTTGACCCTGCCATCGCTGCCACCGCTTACGACACGCGTATCGTCAAATTGAAGGCTGGTGACGCTGTTGTCATGTGCTGCTAGTCGGTGAATAGGGCACATCCTTTCAAGAGACCAAACCCTAACGGAACCATCTGAGCCTCCCGTGACCAGTGTATTGCCTCGTAGCTGTAACTGGCCAACGAGAGAAGTATGGCCTTGGAGAACGGCGATGGCATCCCTACATCCGAGTTAGTATGAATGCCTAAATTCATCGTATACGTGAAAAACATACCCTGTGCGAGCATCCCAGACGCGCACGCTGGTATCGAGGCTTCCGGTAACAACTCTGCGACCATCAAACGCGATGGCATATATCTGACTAAAGTGGCCAGAAAGTGTGTGTAGACACCTGCCTTCAGATATGCTCCATATCTTGGCTGTCGCGTCGTAGCTACCAGAGACGACTATATCGCCTTTTATTTCTAAACATCTTACGCTCGCTTGATGCCCGACTAGGACGTTCTTACAAACACCCTGCCTAACATCCCAAACTCTCAAGGTAGTATCGCGCGAGCCGGAGATAGCCGTGTTCGCATCCGACATCTTAAGGCAACGGACTGTGGAAGTGTGGCCGCGTAAAGTATATAGACATCTCCTATCGACGTGATTAGTAAAACTCATCCAAGTTTTGAGCAATGGCCATACCCAGATGTCATATCCCAGACCCGTACGTCGCGATCGCACCCACCACTGACCAGAATGTCTTCCCACGGTACCATAGCCCAAACGCCCATAATATGACCCTGAAGGGTACGAAGAGCATTGCCTTCCCGATCAAAGATATGGATCCTCGCATTATCAAGAGCAACCACGATATATTGCGGGGTTAAATGGAGACTGGTCACAACTCTATTATCTTGGGTGATGGTCCGCGTAGTGTTACGCCCTCCAGTTCTCCAGGCGGACTCGACAAGATATCTTTGTTTGAAGTGCGACTTATACGACCTAAGCTTAGGGCGCCCGGTGCTCGAAGAGCTCTCCGAAGAGCTGTCGAAGCTACGAGTCGAAGAATGAAACGTCGAGGGGCCAGGAATAGCGCCGGGAAAGCTGTGGGTGTACTCGGGATCAGACAGAGGTAATATCCCAGGCCTAGTTGCCGCAAATGGCGGAACTCCATATGAAACTTCAGAGAGGCGACGGCCGTAATCGTGCTTAACACAGAGATTCTTCCATGTTACATCGTCGCTTAAAAGATCCCTCCACCTCCTGGATACTTGTGATGCTCGCGCCAGCACTTGCGGATCATCTATGAACGATAATATCCTCAAGCACAACTCGTCGGGTAGGCTGGTAAAGGGGTCCTTCTTCAGTAAGGGGCTCACGAATTGATGTACAAAACTGAGCTGCTGTGTCGTGCACATATTTAGTAAGTCGGCAAGGACCCGCGTTCTTTGCGGCCCCGAACAGGCCTTGAAGTGATGGCGCATTTGAGCGAGAAAAAAGTCTTCGTCATCGGCGGCATTACTCCAGTCGGGTTGCGTATCCGTGGGTCCCGGCGAGGCCGCAGGCGTAGGAGGTGGCGGCGGAGAGCCCGTAACTTGCTGGTCGAAATCCGGAGCCGGCGTGCTCATGCTGGGCGTAGGCGGGCCTCTAGGCCGGGGTTGTTGGATCATCTTATCCATCCTCTGGTTTACGATGACGGGGCCGGTACTCGTCGTGTCCAAAGTCAACTCTTCAGCCCGGTTCGAGACGCTGGCTCTCCTTTCTGAGAGACTACCGTAACCTGCCATCTATATGCTATTTTATATATCAAGTTTGTATATTCACTATGCTACGACGATCTCTCGACCGTCCCGACCACGATCGACGAGTGAATTGCCGGGCCCTTTGAGGCAAAATGTATTTGCCTGTACGGGTTTAGTTAATAGGATGAACATATATGTTGAGTGTGTGTGTATTTCGTAGTTAAAATGCGACGGCAAGTAAGCGCCGTGTAGAGGCTCGTATATAGATTGTCTGTGTGCAGGAAGTGCTAATGCTGGAGTAGGGGCAACACAAGGATGGTTCTGCATACGTTCGGGGTCAATGAGACAAGCCGCGTCCCAAGACACACAATTGGTAGGTCAAACGACCTACGGTAGTATCTAAACCAGGCCTACAAGGGTAAAGACAAACTAACACTGTCCGGATGGGCGAAGGAGGCTACGATGGGGGAAGGACGGTATAGCGACGAGAAAAGGAAGCGCGAAGAGGGTTTAGCAACGCATTGGCAGCATATATGTCGTCTTTGAAAGGCTGTCGGCGGAAGGCAAAAAACGGAGATTTTTCGAGGAGCGGAAGAGGGAGAGAGAGATTAGTCTACAAAGTACATAGACGGAAGGGGGGCGGGTGGATATCGAATTCTCAAGCCCCTTACAAGCGTATCGTTGGTATCGTGCGAAATTGTAAGAGGAATGATGATGGTGTAATTAAAGGCAGTGAGTTGTAGTCAGTTGAGGATGGTAAGATGTGATTCTCCAGAGTGGAATGGGGGTTAGGGAAGCGGATCCTAAGCAGAGATGAGCAGGAACGTGCCTCCCCATGGTAAGTCCATAAAGTTTCTCCCGCCGGGGGAGGTGCTACACTAGCGCTACAGTATAAATACTGTATTAAAGGCTGCAGATATGTACTCTGCATAGTACCTGACCTTTAAGGGTCATGATGCATGTATGCTTAATATATAAACTCGGGTTCGCATATAAGATAGGCGAGACTGCCGACGGTGTATGTCTTTTTCTTCTTCTTTTTCTTTGTCTCTCGATAATCCAAATCTATAAGCGACGTAATCTCTATAATCTTTACAATCTCTATAATCAAGCCCTTATTGGTTGGTAATAGCGACTATACTCTTTAGAATAGGTAGTTGTGCGTTGTACAGTTGTACAGACACGATTTAAAGTTCAAACGTTTGCGCATTTGTATAATGTGTAATGTACAATACAATATATGTAGGTAGGTAGTGTACATATCGCGGTACATTATCGCGGGTATCTAGTACACAATTTACACAGCATACCTACCTAGGTAGGTACTGGATGGACATAAGTACAATTAGTAATAATGAGGGGTCCGTCTCTGCACAGTACTCGCACGTAGTGCATCTAAGTTCTTATTTAGCTTCTTATTTAGCAACGCCGGGAATCTAAAACGTTTCGTCTCGCTAGGGTCTATCGATCTCCTAGTCCTAAATTTACATTAGTCGGTGCCCTTGACTTAGAATCTGCATGTATTTCTGTAAAGGGCAGTGAGGAACATCAATTCGTCTCAATCTCAAATTACTGTATTCCTGGCTCGCCAAAGTTCCATAGGTAGCGAACAATTGCTACCCTCCAGCTATGCACATCCTCTAGACAATCGCATTCATAGGTACCTAGGTTAGGTATATATTGAAATGCCCTTTGAGGTCTACCGGCGGTTACAACCACCAGGCTAATGCAAATCCTTGTCCTAATGATCGCAACGCATAGGTACCTACATACATACCTAATGTACCTACATACCTTGTACCTCGAATACAGTACACCATATCCGTTCCGGCGATAAAATCTGTAAATATACTTTGCGCCATACCCGAATTCTTATTCGCCGCCGTCCTTGTCTACTTTTGGGAAGGCTGTTTCCGCAGTTCCCACTTCGGTGCCGCGGCGCTTCTGCGCTTGGGGAAAATCCATGAGCGTACATACTATGTAGTTGACGGACGGATGATGCGAGTACCACAAGCTCGTAGCTGCATGTGCATACGCTTCGTGCCATTCGATGTTACAGCATTGCGGGCAGGATGCGGGCCGTTGTTCACTCACTTCTACGTTTTCGCCTACCCGTGCTTTTATCTAGAGCTTCTACTTGGAGAGCCAGGACGAGTCAAAATGTGTTCCGTGTGTTCGACCGAATACGCACGGCATTGCTATCTTCATCAATTTGCCCAGCTTATCAGAGTTTGCCAGCGCATTGCCGTCCGTACCGTGGCGACCTAGCAACTAGTGTTTTTATAGGCGCAATGTTGATATACTATATCAAGAGACTACTACTCGCCCTGACTAGTTAGCAGCGAAGATGGTATAATATCTAGGTACTGTCATGCCTGCAAGATGACATCGGCGTTAAGCTACGAGTGGATGTTTATATTGGACAGAGGCTTCTGGATGCTGAGTTGGGGTAACAAAGCAGCAAGCGCTGAGTCGGAAGCATGATGGTAATAAGTACAAGTGCAACGATGTCAACGAGAAGCTTTTCTCACTGGACGACCAACGAAGCCATTTTATTTAGTACGCTCGTCAAAAGGAGATTCGTTTTTGGCCTACCTAAATTCGTATAGCACCTAGTGATGTTGGCTTCTGCCAAGACTCAAGCCAGATGATGGCTAATATATCCTTATGCTTGTTAGTCTTTTCCCGATACTTAGGTGGCGTTTGCTTGGCTCAACTAAATTTCTTACGAGAAACCATATTGAAG